CGAGTAAGCTCCCAGTTCCCGCGGGCGCGGAGGGGGCTAGGCCGCGCCCCCGCTCGACCCCTGAGCCGCGGGGTCTTTTGGGGGGCATTTAGAGCCACGGCACGAACGGAGTCTCTGGGGGACATTTAGCGCCCCCAGCCAGCCAGCCGCTACGCATGGTGGCATAAATATCAGGCGACCCGTTTGGCTCAGTACACCCCACCCCCTCCTCCATGACCTGGGGTCTCGCGTAGGTCGTAACCTTCTGGGCTGATGCGTTGGGCCGAGTCTCCCTTGTACGTGTATCCAGGCGCCCCTACTGAATCCCTCAGGGAGCTTACCGCTGGTCCGGGAGAACCAGATTCCTGGGAAGCTCGTCGTCTTCCTGCGTGTGCGTGTGTGTGTGTGTGTGTGTGTGTGTGTGAACTTCTCCCAAGGCTAAGAAACCTTTTTGGCCAACGCGACCTCTCCAAAAAAAGAGGCCGTCTGGCATCTGCACGTCCGGGTGCATCTGGCTCCTGCTGCGATGAAATTGAGAACCACTGGGTGGAGAGGGCTGGACGGACTGTGAACCCCTCAGTCCTCACCCAGCCCCCTCCCTGGGGACAAAGGGACGCTCTCTTGGGCCTCAAGCCCCTGCTGCTTCTCCTCAAATTGCCGGAGCCTGGGAAGGTGCAGAGGAGCCATGGAGGCCCCTGGAGCGAGGGTTCTGGGCAAAGGGCTGGCGCTTACACTGTCTCCTCCTCTCCTTTGAGCTTTCTCACGCTTCCCCCGCCTTTTCTGCCCCTCAAAGGCCAGGAAATCACAATGTGTTAATGTCATAGAAAGACAATCCGCTAAGGAGGGGTGGGGGGGGATGTCCAAGTGGCAGTGGAAGGGGACAGGAAAGCCAGTGTGCGAATGTAATAAAACGCCGTTTGGTTTTGCTTTCCAGTCGGGGCTGTCCGAGGGCAAGGGAAAGACGAGTCAAAGGTGGAAGACGACCCGAAGGGCAAGGAAGAGAGCTTCTCACTGGAGAGCGATGTGGACTACAGCTCGGATGACAATCTGACTGGCCAGGCAGCGCACAAGGAGGAAGACCCGGGCCACGCGCTGGAGGAGACCCCGCCGAGCAGCGGCGCCGCGGGCAGCACCACGTCCACCGGCAAGAACCGGCGGCGGCGGACTGCCTTCACCAGCGAGCAGCTGCTGGAGCTGGAGAAGGAGTTCCACTGCAAAAAGTACCTCTCCCTGACCGAGCGCTCGCAGATCGCGCACGCCCTCAAACTCAGCGAGGTGCAGGTGAAAATCTGGTTCCAGAACCGCAGGGCCAAGTGGAAACGGGTGAAGGCAGGAAATGCCAACTCCAAGACAGGGGAGCCCTCCCGGAACCCCAAGATCGTCGTCCCCATCCCTGTCCACGTCAGCAGGTTTGCTATTAGAAGTCAGCACCAACAGCTGGAGCAGGCCCGGCCCTGAGGGCCAGAGCGGGCAGACCTGGCAGCCATGGTGGTGAACCCAGCTCCCAGGGGACCTGTGTGGTCCAAGTCTGCAGCTAAACTCCAAGTCACACCCCAGCTGTGGGCATCCCAAGCAATCTGAGAATCTGTTCACTGCGCACACTTGAAAGACTGCATTGAAGGGACTGCAGCCACGCTGAAGACACACTAAATATTTATTATACTGCCCCACTTTGTACATAGATACCCATAGATACCGGATCTCAGCTGCAGTATTTGGAAAGTTCTAGGACCAGATCACCCAGTAATATTCCGCACTCACGTTCCGGAAGAAAACAAACCTCGGCTGTACCCTGCGCCGTCGCAGCCGTCTGTCCATTCTTTTCCACAGGTAAACATGAAATGCAGGAACAAACGCTGGGGTTTAAACTTATTTTTGTTTCTCTTCTGGCTTTTTGAGTTGACTGGAAGCCGGCATTGTGGGGCAGCCTGGAGACTGGCGCTTAGCTCTTGCCTGGCTTTCTTTCCCGGGTCGCATATTCTATCTGAGCCATGTCTGAAGCACGTCTCCGTTGTGTTTAATTTATTTCAATGTAGCTTATTTTCTTATAAGTTATGACATTTAAACAATCTCAGTCTTGTGAATAATAAAAAGGAGAGAGAGAAAAAAACAAAAGACCAATTCCTGGGCCTCATGAGTGTGTCCGGAATTGGACTGACCCGAGGGCACTGCCCAGGCCTGGCCTGGAACCCTGCAGGACGGCGCCCCGGTCTAGTCTTTCCAGGCTGACTGGCTGTGGGCCCCACGGCTCCTTACCAGGTTTAAGTCGGAGGGCAAGAGCTCTGCGTTTCAGATCCCCTAACTTCACCTCGAAACCTAACGCCTCCCGCTTAGCTCAGCCTAACGCTACTGAGAAGGCTGGCAAACTTCGGCCAGAGGCGGGTGCAGAGCAGGGAGAGCGCGAGCGGGTGTCGGTGGCTTTCCTGAGCTCCCCGTGCTCCGGTTCCACTGCAGCCGCCAGGGAGGAAACGCGTTTCCTTACAAACATCCCCACCCGAAAAGAAGCGCTGCTCTTAGCCAGGCAGAACCGAGGGACGGTCCATAAATCAGGCTCTGGGCGTTATCTCCCCATAGGGCCCGCAGCCCAGCCGGTAGAGCCGGGCGTTCCGGCATCCCTGGGTGCGGAGGAAGGCGGGCGGCGAGCCCCGCGGGCCGGCACCTCCTCTCTGTGCGCGGGGTTGGGGTCGGAGCCGGGAGGGACCACCGCCCCACTCCCCAACGGGAAGGACGCCCTGGGTCAGCACCACAAAGGGGTTAGGAACGCCAGCGACTTGAGGGCGGGCCCTCAGGGGCCTGGCTGGAGGCAAGCGGCCAGGCCTGGGTCCCCCAGCGTGGAGCTGGTGGAGGGTGAGCATCGGTGGCAGCTCTTGCGGCCACCAAGCCCACAGCCCAAAGAGCAAGAAGCCAGTGGCCTCGCCAGCCTCATCTCCTAGTGGAGGGCTGGAGGCCTGCAGCTGGTCTGGAGGTCGTTCATCGGCCCGCGGTGCCCTCGGCCTCGT